ATCAACAGGCCCTTATCTCTGGTATATTTTGGCATGCATCATTCAAGACTAAGTTTAAATTGTGTGCAGCGCAACGCAACGGACATGTAATGCACAATGTCTCAGGAAAGACTGTCTGGGTTGGCAATACCCAGTATAGAAAACAGTCAGACCCGCAACCTGGACCTACAGATGCACATCTCCTCCTATAACTAATAACTGTACTGTGATTTAAATGTTTTGGGTTAAGGAACTTTTTCTAAACATGAATGATCCCAATTTGGTTTAAACGTTCACACCCCCAACACACACTTACATTTTAGCAGATGTACTTATTCAGAGCGACTTAGAGGCCCAATTTGGGTTAAGTTCCTTGCTCAAGTGCACAGACAGATTTTTCATCTAGTTGGCTCGTGGATTTGAACCAGTGACCTTTCGGTTACTGGCCCAACATCCTTAACCACTAGGCTTCCTGCCCCACCCTCACAAATACCTACCTAATACCAGTCCATCTCACATGTAATCATGGGGACATGGTCAATTACTAAAAACCCACACTCTGACAACGTGAGAAAGAGAGACAATGCCAATTCTTCAATGAAACCTGAGAAATATGCCTATGCAGATTGATCCATAACTCTCTCTCATTCACACACACATGCACACACTCACGCACGTGCATACACACACACAAACTCCACTCATGCGTTAGCTTCTGCTCTGAAGGGGTATAGTGAGAGACCGAGAGGCCAGTGTTTTTACTGGCAGCCTGACCAGCCTGTGAGCTCCATGGAGATGACCATTCCACATCTAATGGAGTAAATTGACTGACTGACAGGGCCTGGGTGGTTATGTTTTCAGGTTCCACACAATCAACCTCCGCACCCTGCTCGCTAGACCCTCTGTGTTTTCTGTGTGTGTGTGACAGGCAGTACGGGCTGGGCTCCCCAAACAAAACAAATCAGGGATATTAAAAGGAAATGGTTGCTATTCCGGACCCAAGTAGGATAGTTTTAGAATGGGTGGGGGGTTATTGGAATGAAATGGGACACAGTAATGGTCCGTCTGACTGGATATCCAAACTAATTGGAGAGCTTGGTGAGTAGCTGTACTCCTGAAGTCAAATGCCCTCGCACGTCCACAGTATGGTGTTCACATGTCTGATAAAGATATGAAACAGCTTATCCATTAAAGTTGTTGTTAATTGAAAGAATAACAAAGCGGCACCCCACATCTGTTTTGGTAAAAAGCTGAGGGATTGGCCTGGAGGAATATACCCACTCAAATTCATAGACAAAGCTACGGATACAGGGACTGACCATCCATGATATCAAAATGATAATTTTAACCATGCTTTGAGGCTATATAGTGTTTGAGTACATTTACATTGTTTACAAACATTGGAGTAAAATAAGCTTACATTTTGGGTCCTGATGGGGTACGACAGTTGAACTAAGCTCATGAGGCATGTATAAGTTATATTCTTCAAGAATCATTGGATATATATAATTAATTCATAAGTCCAAAATGGATGTAGCAACTACGGATTCTAGCTTTAAAGCTTTAGGTCCTACACCAATATATTCCTATCAGTGGAGGCAGGTGGGAGGAGCCATTGGAGGACGGACTCATTGTAATGGCTGGAATGGAATTAATGGAACGGAGTCAAACGTGATTTCCATATGTTTGGTGTTTGATACCATTCCATTCATTCGGTTCCAACTATTATAATGAGCCCATCCTCCAATAGCTCCTCCCAACAGCCTCCATTGATTCCTATGTATTTGTATGTCTGGTTGAGATTCCTTCCATCGCTGTGGAGGAAATGTGGTAGTAATTAGTCAGTTATTCATTCCAGCCATAGTTGTTGTAAGCCTGTGGTCAGCTGACATGCGTCTCGCCTTGAGGGAGATTGAAGAATCACGGTCCATGACTCAGTGTATGGTCCAGTTCTGCAGGCTTGGGAATGGACCACCACTGACCACTTACATAATGTGGGAACAACTGAATTCACTTGAGTTTCATGCATTTTCAACGCCTTAATGCCTTCTCTATTCCTCACAGAAAGCCCATTCCAGTCTAGCCTACTCTCTATATTTGGCATTCCAACCTCAGAGCAGGACTTGGGTCATCTGATGGACCACCAGTTCAGAACATTCATCAGATAGGTCGGAAATGAGTTCCAGAATATCTCTATCTGCTCAAAAAAACAAAACAAAAAACATTATATGGAGTTGATGGCATACCAAGTGAAGCCTGAGACTGCGGAACACATTATGTGGTTGGTGGAACTATAGAATCTCCATAGAATTAGAACTATGGGTGAATCATCATCAATAGTAGACATTCCATTCCCTGAGGTAATTACATTAGGAGGCTCTCCTCTTTTCAGCTTCTGGTTGGTTCCACAGACTGTTTCACAGAGCAGGACCTCATCAAAGGGTATCACTGGAGCTAAGGGACAGAAACCCCCCAGAAGTGGCAGATGAAAGACAAATGGATGAATGGCGGATGGATCAACAGGCAAACATTAGGGCCTGTTCCCAACCCCTCAGTCAATGAGAGGGTATTCTTTTCACGTGTGCAAGAACACACACGCACGTGAACGCACACACACACACACACCATTTCAGGCCTCATGAACGTCGTGAAATCAGCTCCATCAACTCCTAAATGTTCTTAGGATGGCTTTGACCACTCTCACAATGGAGCTCACTGCATCACTGTCTCACTTTAACTACCACTTGACAAAGTAGACTAAAGGCAGACTAAATGGAGGGGGAGACACACATACACACATACCACCCCCTGCCAACACTAAACAGTGGGGAGTCTCTCTATTCCTCCAAGATTTAGAGGATTTTTTTTGGTGATATTTGCAGGCAGAAATGCTTGATTCTGCTGCGGCAATTCTGACATTTTGCATGGCAATATGCAATGATTTTGTCCAATTTGTTGGGAAAATGCACTGGCGAGGGAAAAAGTTTGTTGACGTGTGGCTTTTTTGAACCATGCGACAAAATTGCGATCATTTGACTGTTTTAATGCGGAAACAGTGCAGTGATTGGTCAAATTTGCAAGCACTCATATAATAAGCGGGGAATTGCTGATTTTGACAAAAAAATGTGATTGCAGAATCCTTGAGGGACTGATCTATTCAGCTGTGAATGCAAACACACACAAAGGCAGGGACAGCATCTCCATAAAAATTTCTTGCTGGTGGATCTTTCCTCTCAGAGCAAACCTGAAACACACACATTTTGAACAGTGTTAAAGAGGCTGGTCTAATGGAAACCTGTACCATACGGCACCTTTGGAACAGTGATGCACTGGTGTCACAGATCGATAGGGGAAAGATATTTTGAAGGTATAATTGACATCCTCACTCTAGAAAATGTGATGGTTTTATTAATCCATTGACGCTATCAGAGACCAAACATGTTTCCCTCCAGATTGATCTCTAGTCAAAAGTAACAGAGCTACACTGAAGATCAGCGCCGCCATCTAGTGGACATCATCTGTAAATAACATTTACAGAACAGAGTAACCAAAAAGCACACATGGTTTTAAAAGTTGTGTTTAATCAAAGGGAATGACTAGTTACACAATGTTACAGTGAGTGGTAATGTTACTGCTATATTAGACACACATTACGGCTGGTTGTGAAATCTCAAAGCCATCAGACTGTTAAATTTCCCACGGGGGGCCAGTATGAAAATAATGTATGCACTCACTAACTGTAAGTCGCTCTGGATAAGAGCGTCTGCTAAATGACTAAAATGTAAAATGTAAATGTAAATAGCCATCACTAGCCGGCCTCCGCCCAGTACCCTGACCTAAACTCAGTCACTGTCACTAGCCAGCTACCACCCGGTTACTCAACCCTGCACCTTAGAGGCTCCTGCCCTATATACATAGAAATTGAACACTGGTCACTTTAATGTTTACATACTGTTTTACCCACTTCATGTACAGTATATACTGTATTCTAGTCAAGGCCATCCTATTCAACTATTGCTGTACATATACTATTCTATCCTACGTATTCTTCAGATATACTACATATTCTATTCACATACTGTCCACAATGTCTATACATCCCATCACACACACACTCTGGACTCCGACATTGCTCGTCCTAATATTTATATACATCTTAATTCCATTATTTTACCTTTAGATGTGTGTGTGTTGTTAGATATTACTGCACTGTTGGAGCTAGGAGCACAAGCATTTCGCTACACCCGCAATAACATCTGCTAAATATGTGTATACGACCAATAAAATATGATTTGATTTGAACAACAAGTCTTCAGTGGCCACGTTAGATCAAGGCAGAGAGTTTATAATGTTCAGAATTAACTGTTCTAGGGTCATTTCCCACTAGCATTTCTTATAAACACCTTGTAAAAAATACATGAGCGTTTCAGATATGGTGTCAAATGAAACACGGTAGCCTACTTGGGCTTTTTCTGATGTACTGTCAGACAGGCAATTCCAAAAAAATGACTAATTCTTGATGATAGGTGCTTGCATGAACACAGAAGGACCCCTAGAAGGTATCAGTGAGGTTTTCAACATTTTCCCACTCTCCCCTAGAACCTAAGAACGATCCACCTAGAAAGTGCCATACTGACCTCATTCCTGATTCCAATTGGACCATTCATTTCAGATGGACAAGTGCTTGTTTATGAGTAGACTGGCAGAGAAGTTAAAGACAGAGAGCCAGGGAGGGGGCAGCATGGCCAGAACGCTCACTGTGGAGAGTGACACCCCAGCATCAAGTGCCTTGGAGGACAGTTGTTTTTCCTAAGAGTGGTCAAAATCCCATTCAAGGCAACACAGTTGAAGGAAACGAGAGACAAAGAAAACAGAGGTAAAAAGAGGTATCTTCTTTGAAGGTTTCAGTCCTATTTCCTGACCCCCCCTTACCTGTTAACCTGGATGTTCTTCAGAGCATGCTCAGTCCAGTGTGATCCCCTCAGGCAGTTCCACTTCGACAGGGTCACTATCGTCAGGGTCTACTTCAAAGTGGTCAGGTGGGCCTTGAACTTCTTTGCCCTCTTCCGCGGGGTGCCGTCCACCCCCGGCCCACTGGCAAACTGGAAGAAGTCCTGACGGAGAGAAGGGAAATGGAGAGCAAGTTAGACACGAGACACACCAAAACAAACGCTGGCCGTGTGCAGCAGATCACCTGATGGGTGCCGACGAACTGAGGCAATTCAACATTTAGAATCATCAGGAAATGAATAGAAAAGGACGGACTGTGTTCTGTGGTCAGATGCGATAGGACGGCCACCTGCTGCTTTTAACCAATCATCGGTGTGGTCTGTTTTGTCTTTTAGAACTGGGGAAGATATTCTATAATACAGACATCAGTAATAATGGGGTTTCATTGATGCCAGCTCACCTGTAGCGTGAAGGTGAGGTAGTTGTCCTGAGACACAATGTCCACAGAGAAGTCTGGAGGTATCTCTCCCAGCTGCTGGAAGTGTTGAGGCCCAGGTATAGGTCCGGGCGCTGACGCAGGGCCTCCAGGGCACACTTCCCGTGCTCAAAGCCCTTGTACGTACACAGTCCCAATGAGAAAACTGCAGCTCACCTGGGGAGAGGAGGGAGGGGGGGAGGGAAAGGCATAGGAGAGAAGCAGAGAGAGGCAATCAGAAAGACAGTTAATTTCCAACTGGTGATGATCGAACCCAAAACAGTAGTGTGACATATCCAGGATTGCTCTTAGAGCAAAGGCTGTTGTTGTCAGTTTTCCTATTAAATGTGGTTAATAGTTGTTGAGGATAGGCACCTGAGGCAGACAGACATATGACTACTGCATGGTTGCAATCATGTCAATTCAAATGTCTAAGCCCCAATCTCTTTTGATGTTCCGCTGCCTATAGAGTAAAGTCTAAGTTCCAATTCACTTTATCTGCTCCATAAATCCACATAAACCAGTAAAATATATCACATAGATCTTCCTTCCGCCTGACCTAGCACGTTGAGTGGCTGCTGCTGGTGTTTCTCCAGTAGAATGTCCAGGGCATAGCTCAGGTCTGGGCTACACTGGGTGATCTGGGCTGGGGTGGCTCCAGGAGGGTAAGTCTGCCTGGGGATGGGGGAGAACCTCAGCTCAGTCCCCTCTCTCGGCTTCATCCTGTGCGGCCTGTCCAGCCCCTCCCTCATGCTCTGACACTTTATCGTTCCTGGGCAGGTTCTGCTCCTCGTGGTTCTTGGTGTGTGTGAGCTGAAGTTCTGGGATCACGTCGCTGAAGGCACACACACGACCCAAGAGAAGCTGCAGCCTTGTGGCCAGCTCCTGGTTCACCTGGGCAGTTAGGGAGACCCACTTCTGCATCACCTCGTACGGGTAGGGGCCTCAGAAAGGGTCCAGGTCTTGTAGGTCCACCCAGACCCGGCCCACCTCCTCTTCATTCTGGGAGGCAGATGTCCAGATCCTCCTCTTTGGGGTCCCAGTTGGCCAGCCTGATCTCTCTGCTTCAGAGGCCTGTTTTAGGGCCTGTTTTACCCCCAAGGTCTGGTGCGTTGGAGGAGCGGTAGTGGAGGAAGTGGAGGCCTGGTGGGATCATCTTCGTCCCCAGAAAGCGAGACCCGACCTGCCAGCTCTTGTAGTTGATGCCCAGCTCTGAGCCCTCGGGACCCTCCAAAACTACCAGGGTCGCCCCCTCCTCAAACAACCCCCATTCCACCTCAGGCTTTATGTCCCAACTATCTCTTACAGTCTCACCTCAGAATTAGACGTTCATCCATGTTTCTCAAATGTCAAATTTCGAAGTTGTTGCAAATGTCACATTTCAAAGCGTTTAAGGTTAAGTTTAGGCATTAAACTCAAAATCTTTACGGTTAGGGTTAAGTTTAGGCATCAACTCCGAAATCTTAAGGTTAGGCATTAACTCTGAATGGTTAAGGTAAGGGTTAAGCTTTGGGATAGGCTTAAAACAAAAATCTTAAAAACAACTTCCTATTGCTGGATTCGAACTTGCAACCTGTAGAATCAGACGCAGATGATTACGTTAAGCATTAACCCCCCGAATGGTCAAGGTAAGGGTTAACGTTTGCGATAGGCTTTAAAAAAATAACTTTATTTTTGCTAGATTTGAATTTACAACATTTGAAATCAAACGCAGATGCTTACGTACACCTGCCATCCCTGTCCACACAGCTCAAGCAAAACCGAAACCTAATTGAAGGTAACAACGCTCACTATTGCCCCTAGTGACCGGTTTCCATGTCATATCCCGACAAATGGAAGTTGAATACTGACTTGTATCCAGTGCTTAAAACCCCCTAGAGTCGATTTAGCATAATAATAAAAATCCCCATCAACATCCGTCCGTTTAAACGAGCGATATCAGTTTTTTGCGCCGATGTCGCCCTTCCGCATCTGCGGTGAAAGGTGGCAGTGTTTGAGCGGTGTTTGTCAGAGCATGAGACATCCCAAAAATCGGTCTTCTCGAAGGGGTTCTCCGTTTTGCTCTACAACCCCCACAAGCAACACGGAACTCCTCTGAAGTCAGTACAGCCGATCTGCCAACTTCTGTCTGTAGCGTCGGAAAAGTTTGGACCTCACACTAATATGACCTCTCTATAGAAAGGTTAGTTAGTCTCCTACAAACACATCATTTGTTTTGCTCTAGGACTCCCACAAGCCTCACAAGGCTGGTCTGAAGGTTGCTGGGTACCAGTTAACAAAATGAATGGAAATATATGGAGATAGTTTAGTGCCTAAAATAAGAGGTTAAATACATGTAACAAATTTAATTAAAATAATAACAATTGTGTGTTTTACATGAAATCCAAATAAAAATCAATTTAAATTACAGGTTGTAATGCAACAAAATAGGAAAAACACCAAGGGGGATGAATACTTTTGCAAGGCACTGTATGTAGATGTGTTCAAGTTACTACAGCCACAGAGATGCTACAGGTTACATGCTATCTCAAATCCTTGGGACGTCCCTACCCCGTTGAAGTTGACATTTTAAATGGTTAGGGTTAAGTTTACGGTATGGACGTCCCAAGGAAGCCAGATAGCACTAACCGTTGCTACAGAGTTCATGTAAAGATGACGGTGCATGTGGAATATCTTTCCCCACAGAAACAAAAACCTAGAATAAAAAACTATCTGGAAGTTATGCAACTTGGGAAGTTTCTTGTTTTTTGTCCATTTTGATAACAATTTCTTATAACAAGAGAACAAAACAATTGGTATCTAGTAATAGCCCATGTTTTAATCATTACAGGGCAAAACAACAAATGGTGCAGTTTTAGAAATCTTTATTAGTAGGCATCTTGAAAAAATGTCATAGAACAGCAAATGTATCTATCGGATTAACAAAAACAATACAATATCTGGATTATGAGATAGCTAAGAGTTTTAAAATGTGTGTGCACCAAGGTATTACAAGTAAATATTTTCACTGCATTGTAAAACCATCCTCTACCAACCTTTATTAATTCAGATGTTCTATGGTGGGGATGAGCAACCACCTTTTGTAGGGCCCGCGGACACATTTTTACTAAACTCAGTCGGGGTCTCAACGTACTGTTGAGAGTTAGAATAATACAATACACAAGGTGCAATTTTGAAATTTGGTTGTGCGTCAGCAGTCACTTAATTAGCCCATGTCAGCTAAACATGTTTAGATTGGCAAGTTAGTCTAGCGGCTAGATATCTAAACTTGTAGTAAGCATGTTAGAATTACCGACCAGGGTGGGGACCATTGATTATCAGTTATCATGTTTAAAACTGAAAACATTTGCCTCCACCCTATGGCAAAATGTATAGAATTGCAGGAAATTAGTTGTAAAACTGCACATTTTTCTCTCAGCCCCATGGCAAAATGAGTAGAATTCCATGAAATTAGTTATAAAATAGCTAAATCTTCATGGCAAAATGATCAGTTCCCTTTTTTTGTGGCCTCCACCCCCATCAAAGTTGCCCATCCCTGATCTATGGTGAGCTATAGCTTAAACATGTGGTACTTTACAGACAATAAAAAAAGGTCATAAACAGAGAGGCCCATGCCTGACATACAAATTGCGATTCTACTCTATAAAATGAGAACCAAACACAATCCATAAATGCTTTTTTGAAATGCTTTTGATAAAAAGAAAAACATATTTTTTTCCAATTATTTTGTGGGTGTTTACACACTCTGCAGCTTCTGCCAACAGTTTATCAGTGCCCTGATGAGTCTCATCCTCTTCCTCTTCTTTCCCTTTGTTCTCTGGGAAGTCACACACTTCTGTCTTCTCACCTGAAAGAAAGCAAAGGCAAAACATTGAGGATCCGTCTCATCTCATTACATCATCGTTAACTGATATACCTAATTTATACACGTTTACTATCATTATAAAAAATACAAAATTGTAAGTGACAAAAATATTTTGCCAGAACCATAATGAAACCCAGCCCTGTCTTTAAAGCAGCCTCACCAGGTCAGTGTGCCTGCAGTTCTGTCTGATCAGCACTACCATCATCTCCACTGGCTTCTCCATGCCTCCCTGCTGTCTGCTGCCACGCCCGTGGTCCTGGTCCCAGCCCTGGCACAGGAACTGCTCCGTCATACCATGGATGGAGCGCAACACGTGCTGCACCTGCATTATGAAGCATAGGAAAACAGTGCATTATTAGGCCTACTGTCAAATAAGAGAAACACATTGGAGATACATTTTGTAAAATTGATTGTGTTGTCATTTGCAATGCACATTTTTATTTCATACATTCAAGAAATCAATAATTCATTCAATCAATCACTCAAACAAAGTTGTAATTGGAGTAAAAGGCAAGGGGTAATTGTTTTCACAGAGGGGCACACACACAGACACACACACATTTGTTTTACTATCCTTGTGGGAGCAAACAATTGATTCCCATTCAAAATCCTATTTTCCCTAGCCCCTAACCTTAACCCTAACCTTAACCCTAACCTTAACCCCAAACCTAACCCGTAAGCCTAAAATAGCCTTTTTCCTTGTGGGGACCTGCGAAATGTCCCCACTTGTCTGAATTTTCATTGTTTTACTATCCTTGTGAGGACTTCTGGTCCCCACAAGGATAGTAAAACTAAACACACACACACACACACACACTACCTTTCCTGAGGGACAATGGTCCCTCTCTTTGGGTGTGTCAAAAGTGCCTGTCAGATTCTGTTCCAAGAAAGCAAACATGTATGTTAGACAATAAAATGATATAACATTCATAAGGCAAACCAGTGAAGGCAGTCAAAAACAAGTATTCCACTGTACAGACTTGCCCTGCATTATATTTGTGTAGGCTCAAACTAGTGCCAGTCTTATTGAATAGGTTTTTCTCAGGTGTGAATTTTGCATCTGACAATATAACAGGTAGAATAAATGAATAAAGATAAAACGTATAGTTAAGTTTGAGATAAAGCCACTTTGATCTTGTCAACAACAGTATCACACTTTCAACGATCTGAAGGCCCACATACCAAATTCTGAAGTTCAACGAAGATTAGTTCTCTGTACGAGGTGAGTATCTCCGTGTAGTTGCACCTGCGTTTACTGTAGGAGACACCCAACAACAGAAACACCACGACGCTACGGAGCACAGGCCCGTTCACACACTGAAAAATCAAGTAGTGTGTGAATTAGTACATACCTGCCAGTCAGCTTGTTTTAATTCACATTAATGATTTGTAGATTTAATATGGAATGCGTCCTGCGCGTAATTGAAAAGGTTATTCTTGGGCGCACGACAGAGTGCGTAAACTGTGCGCAGTAAGTATATGTCTATATCTAATCATGATCAAACTGTTCAACATGCAACAGTTCAGGATAGAGAAAAAACACTATAACATTAGTTGGTTTTATCTACATGAATGGACCCCATCTCCACGTGTGACTTCCATTGATCTAGGACAGCACCCATCGTTACGCAAGTATGCATCACATGTCAGAAGGGAATGGCCACTTACCATTTATCATTTTCTATAGGATGATCTTCAGACGAGCAAATCCGTGTCCTCGGGAGCCAGCAGGAGCTGAGGGAGTTATTCGTGTTCGGGCTGCATACATTGTATCCAAAAGTTTAGTAGCCTATTTGGGTGTTTAAAAACGCTTTAATGGATAAAGTCAACACGTTGGCAAGCGGACCCAGGATGTGCCGTAATTTTCCCGAAGTTCCGTGGTTACCAGACATCGCCGAAATGCCATTGGCGTCTCTAGTTTCCCTCTGTCATGGGTTGCTAGCGGTGGGTTTAGGATATCACCAAACTCCTGTCCCATCAAGTCGAGGACAACTTCCGCGATCAATCAATCACCTTTTTGATTTCTTTCGGTTTCGTTGGAGAGATTATAGGCGCAGGGGAGCAATGTGGACAGGTTTAGGTTATATGCGCACAAATCTGCGGGGTAGGTTATGTACACTTTGGAGACCTCAAAATAGTTTGGGCAAACTGTAGTGCATAATAGTAGAAGAATGGTGAAACTGTTGCATTCAAACTGTTCCATTCAAACCTGTTGCATTCAAACTGTTGCATTTAAGTCTATATACAAGGGATTGTATTGTGTACTTATACTACCTTGGAATGTCAAATTAATGCAAAAAAGCGTCTGCTAAATGGCATATGTTATTATTATTATATACAGTGGGGTCCCAAATTGTTGTATCCCTTAATAAAGATTAGCAAAAAAGACTGTATAAAATAAATAATACAAGTAATGAGCTATATTGTATGCTAAAAAAACTGACATATTATTTTATACTAATACAATTAATCAGAGAAAGAGATTTTGTTTAACAAGTAAGAAAATATATCAAAAAAAGCACCCTCACCTTGTAAGCTCGAGGATAATGACACTGAGTATTTTTCTAAAATGCTTATGAGATTGGAGAACACATGGGAGGGATCTTAGACCATTCCTCCACACAGAATCTTTCCAGATCATTGATATCCATTTGTCTGGGCTTATCGACTGAAACCTTCTATTCAAACCACAGTCCGGAGACTGAGATGGCCTTGCAAAATGTTGATTTTGTGGTCAATTAACCAGTTCTTTGTGGATTTGATGTGTGCTTGGGGTTATTGTCTTCCTGGAAGATTCACTTGATTCACTTGGCGGAGGCAACCAGGTTTTTGTCTAAAATGTCCTGGTACTTGGTAAAGTCCATAATGGGAACTGAGTCAGTCTGGGTGGGAGGGCTGCAACTGTGTGTGGTTGCATTAAATAATGTTTATATGGCAGGTCAGTAGTGGAACGTTTACTTTAGGCACAGATAGAATCAGCAAATCCCAACCCAAAACATTATGGGGGAATTGCCAAACGGATCTTATATCAGTGTCTAGACACACTATCCACTCCATCTCTGATTGTGCTTACATCCAGAGCCCGGATGCATTCACACAAAACAGACTATTTTTTGTTGGGTGATTCTCACAAAAATATAATTTTAAAATAGATATTCTTTGGATTTTTTGAAATCCAAATTTTCCTTTGGAGCAAAAAGAAGACAATATAATTTACATTCTAACACGTTTGGAAAAGCGTGTGTCACGTTTGTTGAGTACAGGATTGGACCAAGGTGCAGCGTGGAATGCATACATGTTTATTAACAAAGTTAACACATGACAAAACAACAAAAGCAACGTAACGTGAAGCTCACAATGGCTACACACAAACAAGCCAAACAAGAGTCAAGATCCCACAACATAGGTAGGCAAAATGGCTACCTAAGTATGATCCCAATCAGAGGCAACGATCGACAGCTGCCTCTGACTGGGAACCACACCCGGCCAACATAGATCTACAATAACATAGAATGTACACATAGAAATTCACACCCTGACCAAACCAACCAAAGAAAACCGGGCTCTCAAGGCCAGGGCGTGACAGCATGAAGTCATAGACAGGTTTGCACCTACAGTTTAATTTCTAATCTTTATGAATGGACTAACATCCTAGTACTGTGTAATATAACTCGCAAACATTGTGAATATTTAGTTGGAGAAAGGATTGTATGCTGGTATCTACATGTGTGTAAAATTGGGAAGTGTTGTTACTACAGGGGTGTTGGAGGGGGTGTATTTGTTTTTGTCTAATTAATTAGGTAGAAATATTGTCCTGTAGCTAATTGACCTTGGAATCTGTGATTTACTACCACAAATATGATAAAATCATGATTTTCAAGCATGTTTGGTGCCTGCGTTTGTACATTTTATAATACAATTCTACTGCTAATATGAGTTTTTGCAGTTCCAACATAATCCAAAGGATGGCAGCCTAAAATCCCAATCCTGCTATATTGCACGTAACTACAATTTGTTTTTCATGCAAAACATTAATTTATGGTTTAGGCTGCCACCATTTGGATTATTTTGGAACTGCACAGTGCAAGCAGCAGCAGTCGGGAGAGGTCGTGTTTTTCTCTAGCTCTCTAGCTGGAGGTAAGCAAACTTCTCATTTGGTGTTGAGTATAGCTTAACCATGTATTAGATCGTAGGTTGGTAGTTAGTTGTAGTTAGGTATTGTATTTATTATAGGTTAGTATTGTTGTTATTGTAGGTTTCCGTAGGTTATTGTAGGCTAGTATTGAAGCACGAGGCTAGCTAGCTAGCGGGTAGCTACTGGTAACGATTAGCAACGATTAGCAACGGTGGAGAGCTTCCCATATGGTGTTGAGTAAAGCTTAACCATGTATTAGATCGTAGGTTGGTAGTTAGTTGTAGTTAGGCATTGTATTTATCATAGGCTAGTTTTGTTGTTATTGTAGGTCTCCGTAGGTAATTGTAGGTTAGTATCGAAGCACGAGGCTAGCTAGCTAGCGGGTAGCTACTGGTAACGATTAGCTGTTCCCACTGTTAAATGTGCTGCTAGCCAACGTTTAATTTTTGCTGCGTTCTGCGTTATGTAAGGAACTAGACACGGACATGAATTATCTGTTTAGTGTGCTAACACACTCTTGGCAGTTTGTTGTAACCAAGTATTGGTGCTAAATTGTGTGTTAATGGATGCTAGCTTGCTAGTTAGCTACGGCGTCATAGCTAGGTATCGTGGGTAGCTACTGTGTCTTGGCAGTGTCTTCCGCCGTGCCGGCTGTAGCACGAAGCGAGCTAATTAGCCGTTTTTTTCGAACAGAGTCAGAGTCAACACAGTAGCCATTGTGTGCCGGGTGTAGCACGAAGCTAGCTAGCTAGCCGTTCTTCAAACAAAGCCAACACAGTGGCCATTGCTAGCTACCCAACACGACCAGCGAACGGTACGGTAGTAGCTAATTACAATATACTTGTCCTAGCTAGCCAACGTTGAATCATTGCTGCGTCATGAAAGGAACTTGACACAGACACGAATGATCTGTTTAGTGTGTAATCACACTATTGGTGGTTTGCTGTGACCAAGTGTTTGTGCTAAACTGTGTGTTACTGGATGCTAGCATGCTAGTTAGCTAGTTAACACACTATTGGTGGTTTGTTGTGAGTATTGGTGCTTAACTGTGTGTTAAACTGTGTGTTATTGGATGCTAGCATGCTAGTCAGCTATGGTGTCATAGTTGGCTAGCTGAATAAAGTGGGTTGAGTCTATTCCTTTAAACATTGAACAACTGTGGTTCACAACAATTCTGATTTCTAAAGGTGGAAGTTGGGAGAGTTTTTGTTCGGGTGGTTCAGTGAAACAATTTTAGTTTCTGAGGTAGAAGTTTTTGGTGAGGGAGGCCCCCCTCTCTCCTCTCCCAGATGCTTAGCTCATTTCATTCCGATCTCCTCTGCATTTTTGTAGCCATTTGCTACAGCCTGTCAACTATGCCTCTGCCTATCCCTGTTCTCTCCTCTCTGCACAGGCTACACAAACAACGCACCACACCGCGCGGCTGCTGCCTCTCTAACCTGGTGGTCCCTGCACGCACCCCTCACCTGGAGTTCCAGGTCGCAGGCAGCCTCTGGAACTGCCGTTCTGCTGCCAACAAAGCTGACTTCATCCCAGCCTATGCCAACCTCCAGTCCCTCGACTTCCTGGCGCTGACGGAAACATGGATCACCACTGAAAACACGGCTACTCCTACTGCTCTCTCCTCGTCTGACCATGTGTTCTCGCATACCCCGAGAGCATCTGGTCAGAGGGGTGGTGGTACAGGAATCCTCATCTCTCCCAAGTGGACATTCTCAATTTTTCCCCTAACCCATCTGTCTATCTCCTCATTTGAATTCCATGCTGTCACAGTCACTAGCCCATTTAAGCTTAATATCCTTGTCATCTATCGCCCTCCAGGTTCCCTTGGAGAGTTCATCAACGAGCTTGACGCCTTGATAAGTTCCTTTCCTGAGGATGGCTCACCCCTCACAGTTTTGGGGGATTTCAACCTCCCTATGTCCACGTTTGACTCATTTCTCTCTGCCTCCTTCTTTCCACTCCTCTCCTCTTTTGACCTCACCCTCTCACCGTCCCCCCCTACTCACAAGGCAGGCAATACGCTTGACCTCATCTTCACTAGATGCTGCTCCTCTACTAATCTCACTGCAACTCCCCTCCAAGTCTCCGACCACTACTTTGTTTCCTTTTCTCTCTCGCTCTCCTCCCACACTACTCACTCTGCCCCTACACAGATGGTAATGCGCCGCCGCAACCTTCGCTCTCTCTCTCCCACTACTCTCTCCTCTTCCATCCTATCATCTCTTCCCTCTGCTCAATCCTTCTCCCTCCAATCTCCTGATTCTGCCTCCTCAACCCTCCTCTCCTCCCTTTCTGCATCCTTTGACTCTCTGTGTCCCCTATCCTCCCGGCCGGCTCGGTCCTCCCCTCCAGCTCCGTGGCTTGATGACTCACTGCGAGCTCACAGAACAGAGCTCCGGGCAGCGGAGCGGAAATGGAAGAAAACTAAACTCCCTACCGACCTGGCATCTTTTCACTCCCTCCTCTCTACATTTTCTTCATCTG